GCGAAGAGAAATATTTCGCTGAGAAACATTCCAAAATCATGTTGCGCATGCGTTCAACCTTTTCGCGCGACATTTTTCGCATTTCGCTCGTCGTGGAATTAGGCCTTCATAGCGCTCGTGTAAGGAAGCAAAATGTTTTTTTCATATGTGTTGAAGATTACCACAAACTGACACAAACACAGTTTTTAATCCAGTCCCCGCTCGGTAATCTTGACGTCCTCTGACGTCCGTGTTGATAAAAACGTCGCTTGCTCACTAGCGAATGTCAATGGCCGCCATCTTTCACTTTTCACATCAGTTCTCTTGCTTTAGATATATAGAGAGCAAGAAATGAATGTATCTGAATCTAGCCTATCTTGAGCCTATACTCACGCTAGATCTGCTGAACCATACTGATAGCGGGCGCATGTACGCTCAGCGTACCTATTTTTAAAACAGCAAGGATGTCCTGCGTAACGAAGGTATATCGTATTTCACTCCTAACTTGATTAATAGACAACTTGCATGTTAGACAAATTTTTGATCTAGCTGTGTTCCAGGCAAAAAAAAAGTAAATTCCCGTTAAGAACTTATTAAAATTATAAACTTGCAAAATTTGGTTGCGAAATGTTGTAAAGCTTGGAAAATATAGCTTTGCAAAGTTTGCATATTTTCAGTATATTTGTATTACGTGTGGAAATTGTTACCATTTTTAAGCCGAAAATGGTAACAATTTCCGCTCGTAATACAAATATACTGAAAATATGCAAACTTTGGAAGGCTATATTTTCCAAGTTTTACAACATTTCGCAACCAAATTCCGCACTTTTACTAATTTCAGTATGTTCTTTTCAGCTGTGGTGTTTGATTCCCTTTTCTCTGCTTAGATTAAAATTTAGTCTAACATGCAAGTTGTCCATTGTTAGCAGACAGTTTTTCAAGTTCGCGCATATTTTGTGAACCGCTTGAGATACTGCCTCCGACGCTTGTGTGAAAAATTATCCGTATTTATCAAAATTTCAAGTTGTATTTCGAACAATTTCGTTTCACAAAGCATAATGACTGACTCTGATAGTCGATCTATATGTTTAGATTTAAATATATCAGAATCAGAGGGAAATACAACCGAAATACAGTACCCAACATCTCAGGTTGTTGAACACGACGGCGAACAGTCTACCAATGAAAGCATATTTGAGCTGGAATCGCTGGACATTTTTTCACAGCATTCAAGTGATAAAGATCAAGGTGAAAATAAAGATCAAAGCGAAACTCCTTCAAACGTACGTAGACTTTTCGTCACGGAGAAAGGAAATCTGAAATGGCGAAGCGATTATGAGGGCCTTTGTCATGTTGTTGAACAGCTACAACTACAGCCAGGGAAGTGGACTATACCGAGGGGACAGTGTAAACAATTTGAGAACAGCGATGTTGTAAGGGAAAGTACATTTATTACACCGAGGGAGGGGGATGAAGATGTCTTGAAAAAAGCTCATATTTTTACAGGGCCCCTGTTGAGGTTATCGATAAATTTCGATGCCCCCCCCTCCAAGTTTTTAAAATTTTCAATG